TCGGGAACGTTGGAAGCACTGTCTGACGCGTCTGCCCCCGCGACCCGAAAGGAGAAGCGGCGATGGAAGATGAAGATGAAGATATACTGGAACGAATTAAGTTAGAGGGATCATCGATTTGCGAGCATATTCCCTAAGCTTATTGGCATATTTTCGACTCGTTTGATCATATTTGCATATAGGCATTTTAATAACTTTTAACACATGCAGATCTGATCCCCTGTGTTATGACTACGTACCCGTCGACGTCTTGCTTTGCTCTGTTTAACGGCTGCTTCTGCATGATTTTCATTCGAGGTCTCTGCGCAGCTGTTATCGTCGTCAGTTTTGTCCATCAACTAAACAGCAACAATGAGAATAGAAGTTAAAAACTCGATCATCGTTAGCCGATCGACAAATCGCCACGCACCTTCATTGCGGAAAAATCGTTGTTGATCTTCGACAGCAAGGAGTCAACCTCTGCCTGGTGTCGCTCAGTGAGCTCCTTTTCGAGACGCACTACCATACGACTAACCTCCCGCTTCTTTTTCTTGTCACTGTTCTTTGCTGAACGTTTCAGTTTAATGGCATGCTCTAGAAGGCGTGGTAACGCATAGTCCTGAGTACCACAATCGTTGGACACAATCATCAAAGTAGGTCACAAAAGTACCAGATAAGTACTCGTCAAATGCCATTATTCTTAACTGATTTACTGTAATTTAAATATATATGACCCATATCCAATCAATCATATCCATTCGTATAAAATACCCCCTCCCCAAATCATCAGCAATAACCTCAATTGGATATATCGTGATATACAACTTTATTCTTTAGCCTTTCACGTTTCATCAGTACACTGTCACACATTATACAACGTCTTTGTAAGGCGGTTCTTTACAAAAAAAAGTTAGCAAAACAACTCTAAAGCAACTATTCAGATTTACAGTCACCGAATGCCCTAGATAACTAAGAATTCATTTCTCAGTAGCATCTTCATTTACATCCAATCATGTGCAAAATCAAAACTGTAGAATCGTTCCCTATCGCTATGTGCTTAAGGCGCATTAAACCAATATGTTAAGAAAAAGTCCCCTGAAAACGCTTAATACATAATAGTTGCACTAGATATGCACAGCTTTCTAGATTACGACTAAATCCGTAAACTGCGGCGTTATCGCAGGATTGTTTAGTACATCTTCATTAACAAATGAACATAATCCTGCAGATTACTCTCCGATCACACTTATGTCATAGAACAGAGTTAAGTGAGAGCCTCAAAGTGGTGCAGATCCTCTCCAACAAGTTTAGACGGTGGTACCGACAACAGCTGATCAATGATACCCGTCCGAGGTCAAAACCTAATAAAGCGCTCCACATCTTTGAATCCGGAGGACCGAAAGAAAGTTGGGAAACACCGCTGTGGCTCACGGTTGGGAACCGAATAGACTGCCAGGTAATCATTCGCCAAAAAGCGCATAAGGAAAGAAGAGAGACTGGAGGAACATCGAGCTGCCTGCGTGGCGTGCCTAAAAAGAGAACAAGTCGGATGAAGGACGAACATAGATAAGTGATATTTTACCTATCTTTGACAATAATATATGCCATGGAAAACCGTTTGCAGCAGGGCAACTAACTGCCGTATGAAAGTGTAAAATAAAGGCCAAAAGTCGGTTAGGAATGTCCATTCTGACCAACTTCTCATTACTTTACAAACATACGTATCACATAACATAACATAAAAGACGCAACATACATGTGAAAAACCGATTGCTTTGCATAACAAGCAGCATAGCAAGAACCTGATCCATCCTAGATTATAGTAGCTGATATAGGAAACAGATTTTGGAAAATTCCGCACGACATGACGTCAAAATTCATTAAAAATAGACAATACACAATCTACTAAAAGTTTCTTAAAAGGACATTGGTACCGGGTCAACCATACGATTTCTGAACAGCACAATGGACGGCAATGGTGCAGTGGGTAATTAGTTGACCGGGGTTTAAATACCAACAGGGATCAAATTTACTTATTCACTGCTCATTTCTGAGTAAGAGATTCAATACGC